CTGCGTCTGTTCCGTTATCCTCCTCTCAGCGTCGACTAAAGTTGCACTCAGCTTTTCAGCGCCGACTTTTGCCAACTTGGCATCCTTGAGGAGTTGTTCGATCTGAGTAGCCTGCCCCGCGAGGGTGGAATCCCTGACAGCTACGTCCTCCTTAGCGCTGGCCAGGGCACCCTCGTCCTCTTCCTTCTGCTCTCGAACCCGCTGGAGGTCCATCCTGGCCACATGGTACCGAGCCGCAATTACTAAAATCTGTTGGGTGGCCTGCAAGGGAAAGGACTTGTCAATAAAAGAAAAGCGGATGGAAGGGACTGAAGCAAAGATGAACTTACCACTAGGGAATTTTGGATGATAGAGCGAAACAACACGTTCGTCGATCGCCCCCTATGAGCCGCCATGTCGACCTCGAAGTGCAACGTCTCACTCACTGCATTGACGACATGGGGGTCCTGCAAAATGGAGTCGTCGACCCTGATCACTCGGTTCATGTGATTAGTGGCTCGAGGATTCCACTCTGCGGCTTCCACCGTCTGCGGAGGGGGAGGGAAGTCTGTCATTGCTATTGTTGTTGTTGTTGTTGCTGGTGCTGCTGGGGAGGAGGAGGTAACCCACGGCCTCTCCCGCTTTGCTGCTGAGCGGAGAGGGCCCTGGGTCCCCTGCTGAAGCCGTCGTGCCTTTATTTGACCCTTTTCTCCTCCTCTACCTGAGGATCTCGATCACGCACTTGACCCCGACCAACGACTCTTGAAGGTGGGGTTGCACTGGTCCCTGTTGATGGGACCCCACCGGTTGATCCTCGAACCCCAGATCTATGCGAGGCGTGTTGGACATGGCTACCTCGAGGGCATCTTCCTCTTCTAGGGACCGCAAGATTTGGAAGTCAGGCCACGAGTCTCTCCCCGAAGTCCCCACTTCGGCGTGCGGAGGAACAAAAGCCTCCCTGACCTCAAACTCCTCAACTTCAACAACACCCTCTACTTCCGCCTCTGTAGCCCGGTCGGGGTCTTCCTCCAAATTTTCCTCGGCCTCTTGTTGCGCAACCTGATCGAAGAGTTCAGACCACCGCGAGGGCTCGAAAGGCTGGGGGAGCTGTGAGAACTTTTTATATCCGGGGGTGTAATTCAGAAGGATGTGGGCAGCCCGGCCGAACCCGTCGTCACCAGTAAAACTCCAAACAGTGACTAGATCGACGAAGTTCACCAAGGGCTGAGGTGGAGGAGCTGTTTCCCGAGCAGGGACGTCTGCACACAAACAAAAAAGAAAGGAGAGGGAGTTATGAACACTTGTAGAAAATCTCAAGAACAAAAATAATGAGACCCGAAGAAACCGACGTACTTGTCGTTCTCCATTCCAAAGGGCATAACAAGTCATTGTACTCGGGACCAGCACCTCTCTGCCAAGATCCCTTGAAGGTAAGTAGGTCATCTTTGTACCCCTTGTCCGAGTCAGGAAGGTGAGTAACGAGGTACATGGACGGGTCCCTGGCTTTGAGGTAGAAGTTTTGTTGAGGCATGACTCTTAAGAGGGAATAGCAAAAGAGGATATCGTTCAACCCAATATTTATCCCGAGACGCCTGTTAAGCTCTAGGATCCCCATAATTATCCTAAAGACATTAAAGCAACACTGCCCGGGGAAGAGGTGGAAATGAGAGAGGAACTAGAGGAGTAGAGGGGGCAGAAGGAACCTAATTTCGCCCTTTATGATGGCTTTGGTATAGAAGGGCATCTCATCCTCGGTCCTGAGGGTACGGGGATGCACAGTCTGGTTATAATCCTCTATGCCTACATACGGGGGGATGTTGCACTTGACCCTAAACCTATCAATTTGCTCGCCCCCCTTTACTTTATACTTCCCTAACCTCGAAGAACTGGCCTCAAGATTCTCGAGGGGCAGGGCGACGACGAGGCATCTCCAAAAAGTGATAAAAAGTGGAGGGTGTTTTTCCCACGAAGATCCCCAAGGAGGCCTCCCGAGGATTGGTCGCTGAGTGGCAACCAAAAAATACCTCCAGTTATCGAAAAACCAAAAGAGACAGAAGGGCGAAGAGAGGGAAGATACTAGGACTCACCAGAATGTAAAAAGAAGTTTTTTCTGGAAAACTTGAAGCGACTCCTTCCAGAATGTTTAGAAGCAAGGATGGGTCTGCTGGCCTTAAGACTCCAGTGAAATGGTTGGGCAGTTGACAACGGAAGAAAAGGGATCTCCGACGAAGTTTCAGGCAAGGGCTCTCTGGAGAAAGTTCAAAATGACGAAATGAGAAAAGAAGAGAGGAAGCTTATTTATATATAGTACCTATCCCATCATTAGGTGCGAAGCACTAAATGACGCATTTAATGCGCACAACGTCCTAAGCAGGGGAAAGCGACTAGAGGCAATGATGAAGCGGTTGGGGTTGTTGTAGAACCCTTTGTCTTCTTACGATGCGTGTCCTTGGTGTCAGAAGATCGAAGGCTGGGGGGCAGTTGATGGGACATTTCCAAAATACTCCAAAATGAAGACACGTATCCTCGGTGTCACTAAATTCTTGTTACTGTGATCACGACACGTACCCATCGATTCACAAGTCCCTCTCCCCCGAGGTACTGGTCGTAGAAATTAATGACATCCAGTACGTTTACGTGCCGACACGTATCCCTCGGTCGGGGATATGGTACATCGGTCCCTATATGTACTCCCTCTCGGCTCCGAGATATACCTCCCGCTCGGTTCTGAGGTGTACCGTCCAGGATGGCATTCTCTGCTTCCGCAGAGGCTATTGATGTACAGGTCGCTAGCTTAGGTTAGGCTAGGTTAGCCATCATGACCTCGTCTTACACAATTGGTGTCAGAAGGCACAGGAAGGCAGAAGACGCAGCCAATGGAGAAGGGGCACGTGGCATATTGTGTCACATCAGAGACAAAAAGACCGCATGTTTTTGCTGACGCACAACTTGGGAAAGTAAGCATTTAATTAGGTCATTCCTTTGATGAGACAGCATTTAATGCGGTAAGGCTCGGAAGAGAAAGGCAATAAATGTCCCTGATACTGAGCATTTATTACACTCTTGCCGAGAAGAGCTTATTGAATATTCGACAGGCCGATGATGATGCATTGATTGCTCAGGGTCCCGAGCAGTTAAGAGAGAAGACATTCCTTATAGGAATCAGTGCGCACGTTGCTTGTACCTAATGATCACCTACTGACCACACTGACAGCAATCATGAGTTTTTAAGGTATAAATACTCCTCGCAAAAAGGCAAGACGGTATGCAACGAAAAACCTTTTCTAAAATCTATACTTGAGTGTTTTCTTCTTCCCCTCTCTCAAAAATTGACTTGATCGTCAGAGGGGATACGTCGAAAAACACTCCGGCGCCCTTCTAACTTGTTTTTCTCTTTTCCAAGCACCTCCCTCAGCCTTACTGGACCGCTCCTTTGATCCTTGAAAGCCACCCATTACCTTTCCAGGCCGCCAACGAATCTCAGCTTGTTCCAAATAGCAAGGCTGACTATTCGATTGATTGACTCGAGTTCACCACGAGAGAGATCTGTTCTCGTGTTTATATTGTGCAAGATCATGCACGCACATCTACTATAGGTTTTGCTCTATTTCTTGGTTCAACTCCTGTCCAAATAAACAGTTGACAACAGCCGAGTCTTCTGCGTATCGCATATTGGCATCTAGAGCTGCTGAATTATATTGGTTTAGAACTAGTTCTGGCAATCCTAAACACAACTCGTGAAATCCGACATAGATTTAATAGATTTGGATGTAGTTTTAATGAATTTAAGTAGTTAACGGGTTAATTCAGTAAACCCGTAAAATAAATAAATCAATTTTGTATTTAACCTATAAACTCGTTTCAACCCGTTAATGATGACATTATAAATTTTAAGAAAAAATTGGTCTCTTAGCCACGACCTTATTTCACGTCTCTCATCTCTCAGACTCATTCGAATTTGGTAGTAATTTAATATTTATTTTTTGTTTTTTATTTTTTTTCTCAGCTATGATTTATTGTTTTAATAAACAAGTCAAACATGTGTAATGTGTGCCGAGTTAATGATTTTTCATGCGAACTCAAAATATTTTAACCGAATCTCTTATTTAACGAGTGATACACGGGTTGTGTCGAATAACCTTTCTAATAAACGAATCGTGTATGGGTGTGATAGGTAAACTCATTTATTTAAACGAATGAAATATAAATGAAAAAATTTTTATACGAATCCGTTCCGCCGATACGATTGTCAGACCTATTTAGAACATTACTGTGTGATCTTCGTGTCTTTCTCTCAGATATTCTTTGTTCTGTGGTGTGACAATGTTTCAGCTCTAGCCCTCTCTTGCAATCCAATTTTTCATGCTTGACCGAAACACATTGAAATTAATTTTCATTTTACTCGAAAGAAAGTTGGTCGAAAAGAAATTCAGGTTTAGTACATTGGTTGCAGATATATTTACCAGAGGTCTTTCTACTTCTACCGTTCTCTCTTTGCGCATCAAACTGATGGTGTTTCAACCGAATCAACACCTTCGGTTTGAGGGGATGTAATTAGACGAGCACACTGAAGATCACATGTACTGAAGCTCAAGTGAAAAAAAACCATCCTGTGACGCCACTAGATCCAGTTGATACCAATAGAGATGCTTAGAGAATAATGACAACTTTAATTATTCTGTTATTTTCTTAGAGAGATTAGTTAGTTTATTAGAATTAACCACATAGCATCTCCTTTGTCAACCGTGATCTTCTCCTCCAGCATATGTACAATAAACTGCATTTTAATACTATATATATATACTCATACATATGCTATCAACATAAACTATCCTCTTTCTCATTACGTAAGCAAACTATTATATATTCCACCATCTCTACATTTGTTATTGTCTCGGTAGTTAAATGACAGACTTCTTGGAAACAAGCAACCTCACAACAACAACTTCAGAGGGTTTGGTTCTTTGAGAATCTCACGGTGGTTGTTTATTCCCATAAACATAGAGTTTGTGAGAGAAAAGATGTGTACTACTAACGAAAACATGACAATCCAAAAGAAGAAGAATGGATCTTTTCGATCTATTTTCATGCATGCGGATCTTATAGACTTCTTGTTGATGGCTCTTGGCTTCTTTGGAGTCATATGTGATGGGATTTCCACGCCGCTTATGTTGGTTATAACAAGTAAGCTCATGAACAATCTTGGTGACACAACTACTTCAATCTTCACAAATTTCACTCATGACATCAACAAGGTCTCTCTCTCTCTCTCTCTCTCTCTCTCTCTCTCTCTCTATATATATATATATATATATATATATATATATATGTGTGTGTGTGTGTGTGTGTGTGTGTGTGTGTGTGTGTGTGCATGTAAATTTCTGCACAATATGTATGAGAACAGATCTCTCCCGTGGTGAACACAATTCCGTCGAGGCAGCGATCGATCTCACCACCTGGAATGGGTTGAGAGGGTCAAAAGGGGCCTAAGTAGTGATGATGAATTGTTTGTTGGGTCGTCCGACTAGTCCTGGAAGGCTGCGGGAGTTCTTGGAATACAGAAAAACGGGTTAGAAGGGCGTCAGAGTATTTTTCGGCGTATCCCCTCCAACGATCAAGTCAATAGTTGTGAGAGTGGGGATACATTAAATGTCTGTGTTGCTCAAGTCATGTGTCAGTAGGGGCATTTTAGTCTTTTTGTCTTTGATCTGACACCGCATGCCACGTGTCCATTTCTCCTTGGTTGAATTTTTTGCATTCTTGTACCTCCTGACACCATAGAGTAGAACGTTATTATAATGGCTAGCCTATGCTAGTCACCTGTTAATCACCAGCCCTTGTAGGAATGGAAAAATCTACATTCCAGTAGATACACCTCGACGCCGAGAGAGCATACACACATCGGGACCGATATCATCAATCTGAGCCGAGGGATATCTGACATCCATGCCGCCCCGGAGTCCCTCAGCCTCGAAAATTATTCCCTTGGCGGGAGGGGCTAAGGATACCGATAACACGTGTCAGGACCATAGCAGAGTTGCTTTATCGGTGCCGAAGGCATATGTCGTTATTTTTTGTGTTCTGAAAATATCCCATCAATATATATATATATATATATCTAGTGGTTATTCAGTGGGTACCTTAGAATGTTTTGATGTGTAGCTAACTGGGGTTTGGTTTTCTGGATGACAGAATGCATTGGTTATGTGTTACTTGGCTTGTGGGCAATGGATCGGTTGTTTCCTAGGTATGTTTCATTCTAATCTCTATTTTTCTTTTTTTTTATATATATTCTTTTGATGTTCTTCAGGAAAATTCATCGGAAATTTAATGGCTTTTTTTTTGACTTTACTGATTTATTACCCATTGGACTCGGATTTTTAGAGGGGTACTGTTGGACAAGAACAGCAGAGAGACAAGCTTCAAGAGTCAGGGCCAGATATCTAAAAGCTGTGTTAAGGCAAGATGTGGGCTACTTTGATTTGCACGTGACAAGCACGGCCGAAATCATCGCAAGTGTGTCTTCTGATAGTCTTGTAATCCAAGATGTCATTAGTGAAAAGGTTGGTATAGTGGTATATTAACGCGGATTCAAATCTTTTTCGGAGAAAATTTCACTCTTATCATATTTTTAAGGACACCTTATTTATTTATTCAAAATATTACTGATATTTTTTTTAATTTATATTTAAATATTACTGACATCCTCTGCCATTAAACTATCATTTTTAGCGCAAAAAAAAAAAATCTAAAATACCAAAATTATCCCTACATAAACTCCGAGCAATCTTTCTATATAAAATTTGATTAAAATTCGACTTAATTAAAATTTGAGTCGAGTAAAATTCATTTTTTTACATATTAAAAATTGAGTCGATTAAAATTTGATTTGAGCTGATTAAATTTATTTTTTTAGGTAATAAATTTTAAGCCTATTAAAATTTTTTTTTTACATATTAAAATTCAAGTTGGTTTAAGCTCAACTTGAATTGTTTGCACCGATTAAAATTCGATTCGAATCGAATTAAAATTTATATTTTTCACTTAGTAAAATTCGTTTCAATTCAAATTGATTAAATTTTTTTTTATGTATTAAAATTTGAATCGATTAAAATTTATATTTTTTTTCATATCAAAATTCAGGCTAATTAAAATTTAATGTAAGTTGATTAAAATTTGATTCGAACCGATTAATATTCATCATAAAAAAATTTATAACATATAAGGGGTCTCAATGAAAATATGTGTATTTAAAGGGGTGTAGATGAATTTTTTCTTAAAATATATCATGGATAAATTTCACTGAAATAGAAATTAGAGAAGAGTGCAAAAATCTGGTATATCCCCTCCTCTTTAGAAAATAAAACAGTTACAATTCAATGTTTATGTAGCTATAACATGTATTGCTATACTGTTGATTCTGTAAGTCTAAGTTGCACGATATCGTTGACCAAAAAATCTGATTTAGTTCATAAGATTTTCACTTTCTGATAATTATTTTGCACCGAGTCAATCACATTCTTATTCATTTGATTTGAGGCTAAGTTACTTTACCATTTTTGAATTCTGAACAGTTTCCAGATTTCGTGATGAACGTAGCGACATTTGTTGGGGCCTATGTAGTGGCATTCGTATTGCTATGGAGACTCGCCATAGTGGGTGTTCCATTTGTGGTGCTTTTAATTATACCAGGTTTAATCTACGGAAGGAGACTAATGAGCATAGCCAGTAAGATGAGAGATGAGTATGGTAAGGCGGGTACAATAGCAGAACAAGCACTATCTTCAGTCAGAACTGTTTATTCTTTTGTGGGAGAGGACAAAACTGTTGCTGAGTACTCTGATTCTCTTCAAGGGACTGTGAATTTGGGTTTGAAGCAAGGCTTAACAAAGGGTTTGGCCATTGGTAGCAATGGAATTGTCTATGCGATTTGGGCTTTCTTGTCTTATTATGGTAGCAGAATGGTCATGTACCATGGGGCTCGCGGAGGCACCGTGTTTGTGGTTGGCACAACCATTGCCATCGGCGGATTGTAATCCTCTCAACCCTCTCTGGGTTTCTTTTTTTTGTTTTTTTCCCAATTTTTCGCTTGGGTTTCTTTTTTAAGAGTAAATATTAAACGGTGATATCTTGTCACCGTTGAATATTTTATACGAAAAATGCAAAATTTCACGAATTTACTGGAAAAATCGTGAAACGGTTAGGTTGGTATCTTTTTTTTTCTACGTAACTTTCATAATTTCGTCATTTGTTTCCGATATTTCGCTGTAAATTCGTAAATCGGTTGGCTTTTTTCACAAATATACTTGATGGGTATCTTTGTTTTGCTGCGAAAAAAGCATAATTTGAAAGTTTCTACAGAAACGTTTTTCTTTCCATAACGAACAAAAGAATTATCCTGTTTTTGGACTCTTGGTTTCGTTCTTTTTTGTCGCCTTCTTTTTGCTTATGGTGATTATGTTGTCCCTCCCTCAGTTTTTAGCTTCTATTTCAACTTTTTTTTAGAGGCTTGATTGAATTCAATGAGTTGTCGACTTCAATTTTGCCATTGTTTCTAGAAATTAAATGCATGTTTTGAGAGTACTTCCAAATATCACTTTTCTTGGATGTAATTGTTAACGTTGGCTGTACATATGCTCTGTTTTCAGAAGAAAAAAAAACTCTATCGATGTGTGAACTATTTTGTTTTTCTTGTTCTTTGATGATCAGGGCATTTGGTTCTGGATTATCCAGCGTGAAGCACTTATCGGAAGCAAGTGCTGCTGGTGAACGCATAATGGAAGTAATAACAAGAGTCCCCAAAATTGATACAGAGAACATGGAAGGCCAAGTTTTACAAAACGTTTCTGGGGAAGTTGAATTCAAACATATTGAATTCGCATACCCATCAAGACCCGAAACCATAATTTTTGCAGATTTTAACCTGACAATTCCTGCAGGCAGAACAGTGGCCTTGGTTGGAGGAAGTGGGTCTGGAAAATCCACAGTGATTGCACTTTTGCAGAGGTTTTATGACCCTCTTGGAGGTTTGATTCTTCTTGATGGAGTGGCCATTGATAAGCTTCAGCTCAAGTGGCTAAGGTCACAGATGGGTTTAGTTAGTCAAGAGCCTGCACTATTTGCCACCTCAATCAAAGAGAACATACTTTTTGGCAAAGAAGACGCTTCAATGGAAGAAGTTATTGAGGCTGCCAAAGCTTCTACTGCTCATAACTTCATTTGTCAGTTGCCTCAGGGTTATGATACCCAGGTTGGTTATGCTTGTCCTCTAAGCTTTGTTGTCTTCCTTTTACCTGGTAGAAATTTTACCTGTTAATTCTGAAATTTGGTTATGGTTAAATCATTAACAGGCTGTGTAATATAATAAGCTGAATGTGGGGTCTATAAAGGGTACCATAATTGTTGAAATATATTCCTTTTGTGTAGTTGTAGTCTGGCATAATCATAGGAGAGGTTTTGGGAAGTAGGTGACAAATTCCTAGAGGAATATCCATTTTTTTATCCATCTGCAGCTTGTTTCATAATCATTTGAGTCTATGTGGGCATAGGGTTTGCCTTTGAGACCATTCATTGAGTGCATAGATGAACCAACATTCTTGACGTAGCATCCAACAACTGTTAGCACCACTTTAGCATTAGTTAACTGCGCCCATGCTTGGCTCATTCTACTCATAATATCATTCCAATCCAAGCAGGCACTTGCTCAGGATTGATATGGTCAAATTGACTAGTGCCAAAATTTTCCCTAAACCAGAAAATGATAGGAATCAATATCTGCATCTATCCTCCAAAATTTTTATGCTTACACAAGGCCATTGTGTCATGAAGACTTGATTGTCACTATTAAAACAAGAAAGAATTTGCTTCCACATCTTCCCTAATTACAGTTGATTCAATAGTTGTCGAAGCATCTAAACAATTCGCTGTTACATTTTTTGAGAGAGAAGAATACCCTATCATATTATTGTTCTGCATATGATCGAGTGGAGGTTGTAGGTTGATTTTTTGGAATGGGCTTGACAACCACCACTGATTGTTATGAAAAAGAGGGGCACTTTTTATTCCTTCTTGTTTAGAGGAAGGAACTAATTAAATAGAATTATTTATTCACTTATTGCTTGTTCTGGAAACATCACTAAACTATTTAAACAAAGAATCATATGTTTGTATGGAGCATCTCTACTGGCAGGTCTACTAATATTACCTCCTCCATGTACTTCTCTTTTGCTCTTTTTTAATATGGAGGAGGGAATAAGAAAACAGAAGAAGATTATTGGGATCTCTGGGGATCGTAAACACATCTCATTCACCATATTATTTTCTTAGTTAGTTGTGCATAATTATTAGCAACGTTGACTAATACCAGCTGTCCCGTTGTATATTTCTTCATAAGAATGAGATCCTAACAAAAACATGTTTGTCCATATTAGGCCAGTCTTTTTTTTCTGTTTTTAACTACATATTAGGCTTGTCAAGGGATTGGATTCCGACCAGATTTTGATCCTTTGACAGTCCTAGTCCATACTAGGTAAATCATGTGGCGCTGCTTTGGGGTGTGATTTTTTACAGCTCGTAAAACAGCCCCAGATCTTGCCAGATTTTCATGCATACCCCATTGGTTTTGCTAAATTTTTCTTTTTTGTTAGGAAACGGAACTTTTTTTAAAAGCAATATATAGAGTACCATAGGTTTTAAGTGATTACTAAGAACTAATAAAAATAAGAAGATGTGTGCATGCAGGTTGGTGAGAGAGGTGTTCAGATGTCAGGGGGACAGAAGCAGAGAATTGCAATTGCAAGAGCCATAATCAAGGCACCCCGAATACTCCTACTTGATGAAGCCACCAGCGCATTGGACTCGGAATCTGAACAAGTCGTGCAGGAAGCACTGAACAAGGCTGCCATGGGCCGCACCACCATCATCATCGCTCACCGTCTCTCCACCATCCGAAATTCAGACCTTATAACTGTTGTCCAGAATGGCCAGGTCATGGAGACCGGCTCGCATGATGAGTTGATCCAAGACAAAAATGGCCTATACACATCACTCGTGCACCTTCAACAAACTGAGAGAAACAAAGAGAAAGTTTCAATTACAAATAGTAATGCCTCAACATCATTGTCCTTTGCAAACATGGATATGCACAATACAAGTAGTCGAAGACTATCAATGGTTAGCCGGTCTAGTTCAGCTAACTCAGCTGCACCAAGCCATGGAGGAGGAGAGTATGCTGCAGTTTCCGGTGATCAGGTTTTTCCAGTTCCTTCATTTCGAAGATTGTTAGCTATGAATCTTCCTGAATGGAGGCAAGCAACAGTTGGTAGTGTAAGTGCGATTTTATTTGGTGGAATTCAACCGGTGTATGCTTTTACAATGGGGTCAATGTTATCAGTGTATTTCTTGCCGGATCATAGTGAGATCAAAAGGAAGACAAGAATTTATGCATTGTGTTTTGTTGGGTTGGCGGTGTTCTCGCTTTTGATAGGTTTAAGTCAGCATTATAATTTTGCGGCCATGGGGGAGCACTTGACCAAGAGGATTAGAGAGAGGATGTTTTCCAAGATACTCACTTTCGAAGTTGGCTGGTTTGATAAGGATGAGAATGCCAGTGGTGCTATTTGCTCCAGGCTTGCTAAAGATGCCAATGTGGTATGTCATACCTACTCTGCTCCTGTTTTTTATCCATGAATGTATATATTGGTAAAAATATTATTAAACATAATTAATAAGCGTCTTGATGTGTGAGATGTATGAGTAATTGTGGGTATCTGAGTTTTGCATTGCAATCATGGTTTCAATGAATGTATGGGTGGTTAGAAATGTGAACAACTCCCCTTTATCTGAAAAAAAAAAATAACAATATGAAGTAGATTGAAAACTTCATAAACCAGCTTTGTATTCCTCAAGCTTGTTAAATGGTTCAATAGAATTTGGCCAGGTCAGAAACCTGTGCGATCCAATCAGCCAAATAGTTATGGTGCACTATGAGCGTAGTTGTAGCCTAGGGCCTAGGGAACTATGGCCCTCGGGTTTTTTGAAAAGTCTACTTATCAGCTACTATTTGAACAGTTACTTCTCTCCCCATCAATGGAGTAGTCCCCCAAATTTTGGATCTTAGTACTTGCTCCATCTTGCTTGCTCGAGTTGGAACCATCATGAACCAAACATCTCAATAAACCATAGCTTAAGCACCCTGGAACTAGACCTCAGAGAACATCTATAAGCCTTTGTGGATCTGCCCAGTCATTTGTGATAACACATTAGATACCCATACAAATTGATGTGTTACCCAGTGTGTTGGAGTATTGCATAGTTGTTATCAAATTTAATTAGGATTGATAATTGAGCCGAGCTACTCGGGCTCAGGCTCGGCTCGGAAAGGATTCGACTCGAGCTTGGCTTGTGTTCTAAATAAGTTAAGTTTGAACAATTTTTTAGATTCGTTTAGAAAACGAGCCTAAAAGCTTGGACTCCGCTCAATTCGATTAGGCTTGCTTAGAAAAGCGAGCTCGACAAGTTCAGCTTGATTAACAACCCTAGATCTGATCTAATAAAATTGATGTTTTATAATTTACAGGTGAGATCTTTGGTTGGTGATCGGATGGCCCTCATTATCCAAACCCTCTCAGCAGTGACCATTGCTTGCACCATGGGCCTGATCATTGCATGGAGGCTTGCAGTGGTCACAATAGCTGTCCAACCACTCATCATTATCTGCTACTATTGCAAGCGAGTCCTACTCAAAAGCATGTCCCAAAAGGCGGTCAAAGCCCAAGATGAAAGTAGCAAGCTTGCTGCCGAAGCCGTCTCTAACCTCCGAATCGTCACTGCCTTTTCCTCCCAAGCCCGAATTCTCCAATTGCTCAAAAAAGCTCAAGAAGGCCCACAACGCGAAAGTATTCGACAATCATGGTTTGCAGGTCTTGGACTTGGTACCTCTCAGAGCCTTATGACATGCAGTCGGGCACTAAGCTTGTGGTATGGGGGCAAACTCATTGCTGAGGGATACATTGGGGCACAAGCAGTTTTCGAAACCTTCATGATCTTATTAAGCACCGGCCGTGTCATAGCTGCTGCCGGATCTATGACTACTGACCTTGCCAAAGGTTCCGATTCAGTCAGGTCCGTGTTCGCTGTGTTGGATCGGTATTCCCTAATAGAACCTGAAGATCCAGAAGGTCACCAACCTGAGAAAATAACAGGTCATGTGGAGCTACGCGATGTTGATTTTGCATATCCTGCTAGGCCTGACGTGATGATCTTCAAAGGCTTTTCAATCCGGATGGAGGCAGGGAAATCAACAGCATTGGTGGGACAAAGTGGGTCCGGAAAATCAACAATAATCGGTCTGATTGAGAGATTTTATGATCCACTTAAAGGTGTAGTAAAAATTGGTGGTCGGGATATAAGATCATACCACCTTAAGGCACTAAGGAAACACATTGCACTTGTTAGCCAAGAGCCCACATTATTTGCTGGTAGCATAAAGGAGAACATTAGGTATGGAGCCTCAGTTGAAGTCAATGAGTCCGAGATCATCGAAGCTGCCAAGGCAGCCAATGCTCATGATTTTATTACAGGCCTAAAGGATGGATACGATACTTGTTGTGGTGACAGGGGAATACAGCTCTCCGGAGGCCAGAAGCAACGTATTGCCATAGCCCGCGCCATACTGAAAAACCCGGCAGTGTTACTGTTAGATGAGGCCACCAGTGCACTGGATAGTCAGTCAGAGAAGGTGGTTCAAGATGCACTAGAGAGGGTGATGGTGGGGAGGACCAGTGTGGTGGTGGCTCACAGGTTGAGCACAATACAGAACTGTGACACCATTGCTGTTTTGGACAAAGGAAAAGTTGTGGAGAAAGGGACCCACTCTTCGTTATTAGCTAAAGGGCCCAGTGGGGCCTACTACTCTCTGGTCAGCCTCCAGACGACACCCAACACCAACCATGAAGTCAACTAGTTGCCATGGAAAGAAAGATGCTTTGCAGACTAATTTTGCCGTCAAACACATGGAGCGATGCTTAAGAATGCCAAACGATTTACCAAAAAAACATAGGTCTGATTTGAGGTAAAGTGTATGGAATAGTGAAGGTTGGTTGCATGTGTTATTGTTGCTCTGAATCTCACTTTGAAATAATGGTTTCTTATTAAATGTAAATGTGTAATAATTTTAGACAAGATAAGTGTAGGGTAGTGTACGTGAATTTACCTAAATAATCTATTGACAATCAAGTCATGTCGTATTTCTATAACAGAACATCTTCTCAATCCCGTGTATTTTTTACTCACGATTATTATGCAAAACTAAAGTATGCGAGGCATAAATGTAATTTAGTCTGCTAAATTGTACAAGCATCAAAAAGACTTGTTTGATGCTTGTATTTGCTATATCTACATTGTTTGCTATATTGTTACAATTGAAAAAGGCAAGATGACAAAGTAGTGGAACTGATTCATAAATGGAGATCACAACTAGACAAGTTTGAATAGAAATGTGAATCACCTCTTAAATTGTAGTAAGCGGTATTCGAATCAACTTATTTATATATTAATTAATCTCTTTTTTAGTCTAATTAAAAACAGATCATCTATACTGAGACTAAAAAATTTACGAAAAATAAATTTCTTGTGACCGTCTCTAAAAAAATTATCAAGTTTTAAACTTAAAATATCATATCATGGCGAGTTACCCGAGGGCCAAGGCTCCCCATGGGCTACTAAAATGAAGGGGATAATATATTAGTCGACCTGCTCGTGGTCATTCACAGTCAACACTGTTCCTGTGTTGTAGTACCTCCGAACACACTAGGGGTGTGTTTGGCAATTCATGGATTGACTGAATTGGCTTAGATTTAAATCCCAAACTAATTCAGTGAAATTTCAATGGACCGGATTCGTAAGGGGATAAAAAAAAATTGTGTTATCTAATCCCTGCTTTAAATAGTACATTATAATGGGGTTGAAATATGAACAAACTACAATTTTTTATTAAACATCTAATGCATTTGACATTAATCAACCATTTTACCCTTAAATCTTATTCAATCCTACCTCTTTTTTGGCTTGACAATTGTTGGTTATCATTTTTTAATTTTTTTTTAATTTTTTTTATCATTGTTGATTACCAATTTAATATTATGAAATATATTAAAATATTTATGTATTCACCAAATACATGTTATTACACATTAATTTTATAATACAAATTTATAAGTTGTTCACAAATTTATTTTATCCGCAAAAAATATTAAAAAATTTAGGACAAAAAATGCGTCACAACCCAAATTTACTTGAACTATAGTAGTAATTAACCGGTTTTTATTTTTAAAAAGTAAAAGAAGAAAAAATTAATTCCAATCACCAGAAAAAATACAATATGCCATTATGGGGTACTATATACAAATCTCATTCACGTAAAAAAGAACAAAAACATGTGTTAATAAGAAAAAATATATACAACATACCCATACAGTCAACTCGTGGGATCCTTTATCATTAAAAATTGAGCACATATTTTTTACTCTAGCAAGTGGCAGAATTCTTCGGTCTAGCAGCAGCATAAAATTTACCATGTTCGGCAACAAATTAAAACAAGAAAAAGACGAAATCAACTGATCAATCGCAGCCGTGTTAGCCATAGCATCAGCAACCCCATCGAGTGGAAGAAATGTGGGAAATGACCTCATGGATGGCGGCAATAAGCTTCAAGAAGATGGTAATTTGGTCCATGACAATGTTTTGGGACACTCTGAAACATGGGATAAGAAAATTAGACAAAAGGGGAAGCATAGGAAAGATGATAATCTTAAGACCCTTTCTGAGCAGTTGAATGAGGTCCCAATGGATAGTTATGGTGTAAATAATGTGTAAAAAAAATCCACAGGCGGTACAGAGATAGAGAGAGGAGGGAGTTAGAAGAGAGAGAGAGAGAGATACATACCTTGGCTGAAAGGGGACACAGGCAGGTAGGTGAAAAGGAAGGGAATGGGGGTAAAAACCCTACTTTGTGCTTTACTGTTTAAAGGGTAATAACGTAATTTCGTTAGTTATCCAGCCGGTGGGCTTAGAAATCCCAAATTCAGCTGGGTTTCATGTATTCGGATCAGATGGGATTTGGGGCCTAATTGACTACGGGCCGAGTAATTCAAACCAACAAAAATTCAATCCCACCCAACAAACACACCCTAGAGGAATTCACTAAAAAAGACTAGCCAAAGAGATGATTTATTCATATAATGCTTACAAAATATAAATAATGTTGTGCACACTACCTTGCTACATCACCTCGCTTATACCATTTGATGTGGCGCAATTATAATCACCAAATATTTGATAAATTTTATGGAACCTACTAATCTACTGGTGTATGTTGAGGTGGTACATAAAAATAGTATAATACTATTTAGACCTAATTTGTTAATATAATTTATCGGCTTAATCGATTACAATCGGTGAATTGAAAATAGGTCTCGACCAATACTAATATTCATCGTCAATCCAACGACAAGGATTGATTATATCAATAAATTTGGCCTATAATTTAAATATAAATAATATTGTTCTTTCTAATAAGATGTTGACTAAATCCTACTTTATTTTGTTGTCCAACTTAATTTCTTTCATTAAGGGGCTGTTTAATAAAGAGGTATGGGGGGGGGGGGGGGGGTTTGAAAGGATGGGTTTGGTAAAAATATTCCAAAAAACCTCCACACTCCATGATTGGATTGAAAATTCAATCCTGTGTTCCCAAATCTGGGCCATAATTAACTCGAATATTAAATTCATGATCATGAGTTTCATCAAATCTTTGAGGAAGGTGGTTTTGGAAAGATGGGTTGATGATGCAAAAAATAATTATACCCCTTAATATGAGTATGAAATAGATTGATCAAAGGTAAAATAGTCATTTTTAGGACAAATAATTGTCAATAATTATGTTATATTCATAAGTCCTATATATGTATATATTGCATATCAAACAAGAGTATGAACGAAATTCAATGTTGAATCCCATATTTGTAAATATAAATGTTTGGATTTGAAAGAGTTTGGGAAAATTAATTTAAACCTTCCCTAAAAATCTATCCAAACAAGCCATTAAGGGCATATCAATAATATTCTTTAAGGACTTACCATTGTTATTAGAGTATTGTTACTTAGATTGTGCTATCAGAGCTTAGAAGTTTTGAGTTCGAATTTCATATATATATATATGTATGTATATAAAAATAATCATGTGAATGAGCCACCCAAAGAGGGCCACACGTGAGAGACAATATTAGATAAATACTTATGTTACGCCATTCTTTAACAATTTAAGTTTTTAGAGTATATAGTTGTTTAACATATTATATTGGTTCCCATGATTATAGGTTAAATGACACTAGTTAATTACAATAGCAACTTAAAAAAATTAAAATAATTACAATAGCAACCTAGAATAGATATCCCCAGCAACACATATTTTCATTCATTTTCTTTCTCAATAGCTCTCGTACCATTAAGTCAAGCAGTTTTGTTGTATAAAAGTGAGTCCCACACTTATTAACAATATATGATGTGTAAAAAAAAAAAAATTATTAGAAAAGATTTAGATCCATAAATTGAATTGAATAAATGTGATTGTAATACAAGACGACACATGACTTTTTTTTGAAAGACGCCTTTTTCTCATTTTAGGCTAACACAGTCTAATGATGTGATTTCAGTGGAGTCATTGGATTAATACTAAATTATAATGTTTGATAAGATTTATAATTAATTCAAAAATTATAATAAATTATGATATCGACTTTGACATTTTTGAGTTTAATTTGTGTTACAATAGGCTTGTAGACACCCCAAATTGTAACTTGCAAGCCCAAATGAATTAAAAGTGGATCAAAATCCACAACCAAACGCTCCGAACAAACTTAAAATAAAAAAAGAAAAAAGAAAAAAAGAAGCAATTTCGAATAATGAACAGCGTCCAGGATTATAAAAATGGTCACGCAAATACTACTACTTCTCTTGAGTTTCCAAATTTCTTCGTTAGTTTTCCTTTACCCTCCCTCCCTCTCTCATACTTTCTATTGCTTCTCAAACGAGAAAGGGCAACTTATTATTTCAAAAGTTGATCCAAAAGATTCAACTGATTTTCTTTTTGGTTAGATCTGTTCTCCTTCTTTTTGAAAATTTCTTGTGGCTTGTTTCGAAAATTGGTTTTATAAATGTTGTTCTTGTTATACTTTTTTTCTTTCTGTTGTTTTGCAGATATGAAACGAATACGAGATGGTAGTGATGATAATTCACAATTTAAGCGGCCATTTGGTTCCTCCCATAGAGAATCGTAAGCTTTTTCTCTTTTTTTTTTCTTGATTTGTTACATATAGATGCTTTAAAGAAGTGTTTAATTTCCCGTGGTGTTATGTGTTGAGTTTGGTAGATTATATTTTTCATCTGGGTTGATTTAGAGTGTGGTGTTTGGCTGATGTTGATGTTAATGGTAGCATCTAATTTTTTTTTTTTCCATTTGATGTTCTTGTACACCATGGAATGGAATTTCTTTGAGGTCGTGCTTATTGATTTAGTGGAATTTAGTTGCTATATCATGTTTGGGACAAAAATACTTTGTGAACAGAAGTGGTTGATACTCTTTTTGCCATCTATTGCATCCGTATATAAAACGTGCAACGAGTATGAGCAGTTGTCTACAAAATGGATGTAGAGAATTTGCGTTCGTATTTCACAACAGTTGTGCCGTCAGTGTGTGTTTTATTCTATTGTGATTGTTTTTCTCAGAATTTAACATTAAATCCCTATTTTTCTGAAATGAAGCTATGGGCAACCACTCCCTGGAGGAGGCAGTGGCATCGGCATCGGCATAGGCGTCAGCGTCAATGGTGGTGGAGCAGGAGGAGGAGGTACTGGTGGTGGCAGTACACAAAGGCTCACAACCAATGATGCACTAACATATTTGAAGGAAGTTAAGGACATGTTTCACGATCAGAGGGAGAAGTATGATATGTTCCTTGATGTAATGAAAGATTTTAAGGCGCAGAGGTATTTTGTCTCCATGCTAGGGCTGAGATGTTAAAATAAGGCATTGCATGAAACATTTTGTTAATTCATCTTGGTGACTTGTTTATTGCAGGATAGACACTACTAGAGTCATAGCAAGGGTGAAAGAATTATTTAAAGGGCACAATAATCTTATTTATGGTTTTAATACCTTCTTGCCAAAGGGTTATGAAATCACCCTGACTGATGATGAAGAAGCTCCTCCAAAGAGAATTGAGTTTGAAGAGGCTATAAGTTTTGTAAACAAGATTAAGGTAAATTTCTATTTAAACATTTTATTGTGGCTACTGAGTTTAGTTTATATGGAGGTTGATGTTTGGATTCTTGTTTCGTTAGAAACGTTTCCAAAATGATGATCATGTGTACAAATCATTCCTCGACATCCTGAACATGTACCGAAAGGAGCACAAGGGCATCACTGAAGTTGACAAAGAGGTGAAGTTTTCATCTTTGTTCATATAAATAGCTATGCTAGCAGGCCCTTTTCAAAGAGGTTAATCACTAAGCAATTTTTAGATGTGAATTCTATCCATTTGCAGGTTGCGGCACTTTTCGGTGACC